AATAGAGAAGGTTGCTTTTCGTTATGGGGCTAGAACCAAACACCAGCTAGATGTTCTGACTAAAGCTATGGGTAATAGAGAAGGTTGCTTTTCGTTATGGGGCTAGAACCAAACACCAGCTAGATGTTCTGACTAAAGCTATGGGTAATAGAGAAGGTTGCTTTTCGTTATGGGGCTAGAACCAAACACCAGCTAGATGTTCTGACTAAAGCTATGGGTAATAGAGAAGGTTGGTTTTCGTTATGGGGCTAGAACCTCTAGCTGGTGTTTGCTTTAGTCAGAACATATGGGTAATAGAGAAGGTTGGTTTTCGTTATGGGGCTAGAACCCTATGGGTAATAGAGAAGGTTGCTTTTTGTTATGGGGCTAGAACCAAACACCAGCTAGATGTTCTGAATAAAGCTATGGGTAATAGAGAAGGTTGCTTTTCGTTATGGGGCTAGAACCAAACACCAGCTAGATGTTCTGACTAAAGCTATGGGTAATAGAGAAGGTTGTTTTTCGTTATGGGGCTAGAACCAAACATCAGCTAGAAATTCTGAATAAAGCTATGGGTAATAGAAGTGGAGGAGTTGAGGGAATGAAGATTTAGTTTAAATGGTTCTCATTAAACACGGGCAAGTGTTCAGTGGGGGTGTTGAGGGAATGAAGACTTAGTTTAAAGAGTTCTCATTAAACAAGGGCAAGTGTTCAGTGGGGGTGTTGAGGGAACGAAGATTTAGTTTAAAGAATTCTCATCAGTTTGGTGAGTCCCCCCCCCTTCCCCTGTAACTTAAGTTAATTCTTGAACTAGAAATAAAAGTGAAACCCCAACTAAGAACAAGTTTAAATAAATTTTCCAATGTTATCTAAACGTTCAACTAAATCAAAATGCTCAAAGTTTTCTCTAGTTCAAACCGACTCTTGAGTTTTTTAGTGAAAGTAAAAGTTACAACTCGAAATAATACCAAATCTACTCTCTCTAGATCCTTCCCGAAAAGTAGGCTAAAGGTATACATTACTGTTACTGTATTACAAAATCCAATGCACATGAAAAACCCTCCAGAAACCTGTAAAAATCCTAAAATAACCTGTTTTAGAAGGGTAAACATTGCTTTAAATGCAAAATACGCAAACAAGGCAAACTTTGTACACGAAACTACCTTACATTCAAGGTCTGTGTCCACTGAGAGTCGAACTGTAGGGTCATAGTTGCTCCTGACCCTCATTTGATTTGCCAACAGGAAAGATAACTCTCCATTTCTAGACGTCACGTGCTATCTTTCCCGCAAAAAGTCAGTTAGTTGCTGATTAGCGAACCCACATCTTTCAAAACAGGAAAAGTTATTGTGTTACTTGGGTGAATCTGTGTATTCAAACTAAGAACTCATTAAAACAACAATGGTTTTGAAAAACTTGCATCTTAGTTAAAGGTGTACAGTATTGTCATGTATTATTCTTGACCAGTATATCTTTGTACACCTGTTTTGTTCTCTAAGTGCTTAAGGTGTACACCATTTGAACGGATATGTCGTGGAAACAACTTATGTACACGTAACTGGTGTCTCTCTTTTTTTTTTTCCAGATGACTTTTGTCTCTAATCTTTGTATTCATGGATTCTCATTTGTTAGAATTTCACCACTTTGGCATTACACACCAAACAAACCAACGTCAAGGTTCATTGTAACGCTTTATATGTATGAAAGTTGCTGGATTGTTTCTCAAACAACCATGTTTTTCTCATGGCCAGTGATATGTAGAGTGTTCATGGAGGGGGGGGGGGGAATCATCTCAAAATCTTTATCTGTTGGTAGATGGAAAGCAAATTACAAATGCTGTTTATGAAGAAGCTTTGTTATAATTTTAAAATTTTAAGATAAAGTTTGTCATCAAGTTATTACTTTGAAATATATGATTGCTGTCAAACTTACATTGTTTTAATTAAGTTTAAACATTCCCCGTCAGGTGACGGGTATTTCAGTTTGTTTATATATATATATACAAAATTTTCCCCACTTTGACATTATTCACGATACAAACAAATGCCAAGGTTTATTGTAACGCTCTCTCTCTCTCTATATATATATGATAAATAATTACCAGTTTGGCGTTACAAGTGTTACAACATATTTTACTGTTTCATGTTTCATTATTCACGATACAAACAAATGCCAAGGTTTATTGTAACGCTATATATATATATATATATATGATAAATAATCACCAGTTTGGCGTTACAAATGTTACAACATATTTTACAGTTTTGTGTGTGACTGACAAAAATGAGCATTTTAACTAAGGCTTTAGATATCGCATACCTTTAGCCCTAACAAGCTCACATGTAAGGGATGACGGCCGAGAAAATGTGTGCTTAAAGTTCATCAGAAACTCGAAACCGAGACTTAAATACGTAACCATAAGTCTCAAACTTAATTATTGATAAGTTAAAATAGTATGGATCAACTGATTAAGAAGATTAGAAACGATTGTCGTTGAACTGTGTGCATTTTATTATAAATACCACGACCAAACGCTTGAATTATGGATTTCTTGATAAGGGTGGTTTGTGTTCGATATTTTGTTTGTTTCTAGTTAAGCACAAAGCTACACAATGGGCTATCTATGCTGTGCCCACCATTTTGTGTTCGAAATGAAAGAAGTAGAACTCCTAACTTATGAATTCCAAATATTGGTTTGTTATCAAGCACAGAACTGTACTACGGGATATTTGTACCGTGCCCATCGCAGGGATCGAACCCCGTATTTAAACGTTATGACCCCTCGAGCTTACCTCTGAACCACCGCGGACTTTAGTAATCGTGGTTGTTAAAATAACGATTCATCAGAGACAGGGACGACCTAGTTAGTTAGGGCGCTCGACCTGTAAACCGTAGGTCGCGGGATCGAAACCCATCCCCTTCATTCTCGCACTTTCAATCATGAGGGCGTTTAATGTTACGGTCAATCTTACTGTTTACTTATTTATGTCAGTGGCGCTTTTATACACTGTAGGATCATATCTGAGTGTGAATGTTCGCGAGATTGCATTTGGTTCGTGAAGGGGTTCATTACCGTTGGTTTTTGAAGGAGTTAGTTCGTGAACGAGTTCATAGGGGTAGAAAAGATTGAAAAAAACCTCTGCTCTGTATTATCAGTTACAAGTTAATAACTGCATTACTTAGATAACCATTTATGTATATTTGGGCAAGAATTATATCGAACAAACAATACTTAAGAAATCCATAAGCGTTATTACAATCACAGTAATATTAAATACGAGATTGAATGCATTTTCTAATGAAATGAGTATAGGTTATAATACAATTCCCCGAGAAGCAATATTTATATGAAGGAAAATACTGCATGAAGTAGTCAAGTAGGTTTTTCTTATAAAGTTTTGTCATATATATATATATATGAATACTTTTATAAAGTACTTTGTAATGGGGTGAGTTTAACTAAAAAATAATATCCGCATTTACTTTTAATTTTATTATCATTTAAAAGTGATTTCTACCCAGTAAAAGCGACACCTAAACTGACTTTTCACAACTATTTTTTTTCTGTAGAAAGGAGGAGTCCAATATTAGGGCTGGATTGTTCTTAGACAGATAAAATAGCACACGGTATAATAACATATTTTATGGGCTTGTGGGTGTGACAAATTGACACTAGTTTTTTTTTTCTCAAATCCAAGAAAAACACACAAAATCATAACATTCTTGGTGTTTACTGTTGTTTTAAGAAAAACTTTAACCGTCTCATATTGTCGTGAATTCAGATTTGGCGAGCCATTTTCTATCATCGTTCTGACACGGATTAATCGCAGTGTATATTAATTAACCTGTATTTAAATCAGAAATGTCACAGTTTCAGATACGTTCGGCGGGGGTGTACTTGACAAAAATGTCGACAGAAGACCGTACAAATAGTCCAAACGAAATCACCAACACACAAACAAGTGTTGATGAACAGATGGTAAAAAGTACGCCATCTTTGCCAGGATCACAGAAAACGTATAGTGGGGAGGATGTTGAACGAATAGCAGATTCCAAGACAAAACTCTTGCGGACTTTAAGTCGCAAAGGAACAGAAAACCTAAAAGAATTGGTCAAGTGTTCCATCTGCCTCGATCGACTGTCCATCCCCAAGATGCTGCCTTGTCAACACACGTTCTGCCTTCTCTGTATCCAGAACTGCATTGTGGGTTCTGGCGAGGCCGCCAGGTTACGCTGTGCGCAGTGTCGATCAGAAATCACATTGCCAAAGGAAGGGGTTTCTACACTTCCTGGAAACATTTATCTCCAGTCCATCCTGGATCTACTCGAATCAGATCACGCAGTTGTCGACGAATTCGTTCGATGTGCAGCCTGCCAAACCATTTGTGACGTCAGTGTCTGTGAGCACTGTAGCAACACCTTTTGTTCGCTATGTCAAGATCGCCACGTGGATGATTTAAAGAAACAGTTAGGCCAAATTGCTGAACAACTGGAGCAGATGACCGAAAGACTTCAACAGCGAGAGAAGTCTTTCCAGGTATGTTGAAGTTGTGGCTAATATTATTCGAAATATTTGAATTTCAACATCCATTTTAGTATTACAGTTTTTGTTAAGATTATGTTTACGAGCTCTGGCCACCGCAGGGCTCGAACCCCAAATTTAAGTTATAAGCTCTCGAGCTTACCGCTCAGTCACTTGGGGCGGGGGGGGGTAGTAACCGAAGCAGTGACTCATTTTTGAGATTTGAAATGCTGTGGTAATAATTGGAATTAACAGTTTGGGTTAAAATGTTTTGCCATTTTTTGCAATAAATTTGGAAAAGAAAAATCATGGTATTAAAACAGAATTAAAGTTAATTAAAATACCTTATTCAAGTAAACGGTTTTATTCCAGAAAACAGGCAGTGATCTAACATTCTTCAAAAATACTTTATAAAGTCGTTCCATTGTTGATCTTTTTAAAAAATACTTTGTAAAGTCATTGCATTGTTGATCTTTTTTATTAATTGTGTTATTTAGATCCGTTAGCTTTTAATTTCAAAGATACGCTTGAGAAACAAACATTCTAAGAATTTGTTTAAGTTGCGTGGATGTTATATTTGTAGAACAAGGAATTAGTAATTACTAAGTGTCCACTTTAATCTTCCACCAGATTTAATTATAGCCCTATTCAGTATTTTTCTTCCCAAGTATACTCAATCCAAGCCATAAAATAATCTCTATTTTTCTGCAGCCATAAATAAAGACTTGTCCAGTTTGGTGTTTGGTTCTAGCCCCATAACGAAAAGCAACATCTATTACCCATAGCTTTATTCAGAATTTCTAGCTGGTGTTTGGTTCTAGCCCCATAACGAAAAGCAACACTCATTAAACAAGGGCAAGTGTTCAGTGGGGGTGTTGAGGGAATGAAGACTTAGTTTAAAGAGACCTCATTAAACAAGGGCAAGTGTTCAGTGGGGGTGTTGAGGGAATGAAGACTTAGTTTAAAGAGACCTCATTAAACAAGGGCAAGTGTTCAGTGAATATTTAGTTTAAATAGTTCTCATTAAACAAGGGCAAGTGTTCAACCATTTAAAATAAATCTTCATTCCCTCAACTCCTCCACTGAACACTTGCCCTTCTTTAATGAGAACCATTTAAACTAAGTCTTCATTCCCTCAACACCCCCACTGAACACTTGCCCGTGTTTAATGAGAACCATTTAAACTAAATCTTCATTCCCTCAACTCCTCCATTGAACACTTGCCCTTGTTTAATGAGAACTATTTAAACTAAGTCTTCACTCCCTCAACACCCCCACTGAACACTTGCCCTTGTTTAATGAGAACTATTTAAACTAAGTCTTCACTCCCTCAACACCCCCACTGAACACTTGCCCTTGTTTAATGAGAACTATTTAAACTAAGTCT